AGGGTCTCACTACACAGATCAGACTTGTAGTGATCCTCCTGTTTTCAGCCTCCTAAGCACTGGGATTACAGGTGTGTGCCACTACACTCAGTCTCAATCGCCAACTCAGTGCACCCCAGGGGCAGGGCCGGCACAGCACACTGGGGATTGAACCCTTCTCCCTGTGCCTGCCTCAGCAGGCTCTTTAATTAATTGAGCTATCTGGCTGGCCCTTGAGCTTTATATTTACAAATTGTTATGCATTCTCTTTGTCATTTTAGCCTTTGCTTTTCATTTTAATTAATTAATTATTATTATTTTTACAAAAGACAGCTATAATTTGGAACTAACGTAAAAACACAGGTGTGAATTTAAGGATCATGTTTACCTAATTCATGCTCACAGTGAACTGATTAGTTGGGGGAATACTGAGGATTTAAAGCATTTAGTGGAAAGTATTTATGAGAAAACATTTAATAGCTATTGAAACTGAGACATGAATATCATGCGGCAGTGTGAGAAAATGCAACCTATTGCCATGAGTTCTGCATGCTTCTGTTTTGGATTTGAGGTATTTATGGCCAAGTCCCTGTCACTGGCCAAGCTATGTCTTCTTGTGGAGCTTTATCACACCCAGCGCAGTCCTGTGTTAGATCCTCAGCATCTCCTGCAGTCTTGGGAGGCATCAGGGGCAGCGAGCGGCACAGAGCTTCTTCATCCGAATGTGCACCCTATCCCGCTCCTCCAGAAGGCATGTGCCCATTAAGCACAGAGCAGTACGAGCATCTGATTCTCACCTTCTTATTGTATGATGAGCCGCACATGCAATATTCTGTGGTAGATCCTAGAAGGACAAGGCCAAGAAAAATAGACAAGGGACTCTAGGGACCCATGATGGGGTGGAAAATAAATGAAAAGCAAGAAAGGTGCTACTGCACAAAAGCAGTCATCTCAGAGCTGAACCCATCGAGATGGTTCAATTACTGGAGAAGGGATTGCTGAGCTGCAGGCAGGACTGCAGGCCTGCACGTGCGACGGCAGGCTGGACATGAACAAATGGGGTACAACAAGCAGCAGGCATGTTTACAAAATGACACCAAGCACAGATTTCCAAACAAATGCTTGACGATTTGAGATCTGTTCTATCACTGCGGAACCATCGCAACATGGTCATCATACCCAATGAGCAGGAGATATCGTAAAATCTGATTATCCCAATAGAGAATAGGCAATCAGAGGCTGCTGTGTGGAATGTTCTCACAGGCAGGAAGTGAGTCGTTAAAGCAGGGTATGTGTAGAATTTTTAAAGCATTTATCATAAATGAATCCTTTCACCACCCTTCATCATGTTCCCTTTTGGTATGGGAAATATTATGAGACCATCCTGTTTCATGGCTTTCCAGTTAATAGTTTATTTTAAAAATAAAATATTTTTAATTCTTCTTCTCTTTGGAGCTATGTACAAACAAGGTAAAAGAAATGGGAATTTTCCTTCACAAAATATACTTGGAGGAGTGTGAAGTCATTCTTGTTGTCAGTTGGCTCCGTTCCAGGGGCTGGATCTCTTTCAGGAAGCACTGAAAATCGTTGTGCAACAGCAAGATGCGGACCCTGACTCAAAGTCCAGTCTACTGAGCGAAGGGCAGACTGGTGCACAGAACGGCACGTGGCCTCTCCACTGCAGACCATCCAAGTGCTGAAGACTGACAGCAGACACTGACATGGCTGCGTTCGTTCCCTTCTTTTATATTGTCCATTTGCACATATAAAAATATGTTTTTGCTATGTGATATACTCTATGATTGTACTCTTATATGACCGTTTTAAAATAAATGTCAAAATTACACAAATTTGAAGATCTGCCTTGTGGGGAAAAATGATGTAAAACTATGCCTTACTTCTGTACAAATATTAAAAAATAAAGTAAAAACAGACCTGTCTTTATATGCCAAACACCAAGTGTTCTATGAATATATTAAACCAAGGAAATTTTGGGAAAAAAAAAAAAACAGCAAGGGGAGTAATAATTATATTGAAAGATGTTTACATAATTACCTTTATTTTGAAGTGAAAGTGTTTGCCTTTTAACTTCTGGTTTCACTCAACGCCATATTAAAAATAGTCACAATGTTTTACTAAGTTCAGAATAACTGAGTAGGGATCCTCTGCCTGAATCGGCAGTTAGGCGAAATCTGCTTTTTTATATCAAGGATAAAACTTCTCCCCTTTGGCTCCTGCTTTTCCCTGAGCCTAGAGGAGCTATTATTATTTGAATAATGTCCGGAAAGAAGTTGGAGAGTGTCAATTATTCAGCTAAACAACTCAGAGACGCTCTGCCCTCTAGCGGACATCACAAGTGGACTGGAGAGAAGTTTCGGGAACTTTCCCACCTGACACCAACAGCCCCTGCTCCCTGTTCTGAAACCTCCGGGAGATGCCCCAGGCGAAAGGCATCAGAGAACTCCGCTCACGCACTCATTTGGGTCAATAATCTCCTCTCAGATAATAGAAAAGCCCCAGTTCCTAATCAACTCTTCACAGGCAAAGTCAAAATGTCCTCCTTATTACTAGTTACGGTGGCTTTATAACAAAAACAAGCAAAGTGGAGAGAGAAGAGTTGAGATGCTTCTGTGGTGGGTGCGTGGGACTCTCAGATGACAGCCTTCAAATTCCAGGTAAGGAAGGAGGAGGGGAGAATATATCACAGTGAAAAGGAGAATAAATACCTGAGAAACTACAGAAATTAATAGTTGGCAATGACTTTTAACCCCTGGGGCCACTGCAAACAATTGCGTAGGCTCCATTCTCTAGTTTTCCCCAGTTTACCTTCTACCAAATGACCCACTTTCCTAAGCAGTAGGTGTCCTGCATCCATAAAGGAGACATGGGAAAATGATTGCTGGGAGGAGGCATCGTCTCTGAATGCCCAAGTCAGGCATCTTGCTAAGTTTTTACACAGACAGGCTCCAGGTCTTTGCAATAAATTGCACGTCACCAGTGTTTTGGGAGGACAACCACACAGCTGGAATGTACTTTGCTTGTAACTCACTTTCTGACTCCAAAAGTTTCCTCTTGTGTGTGTCACAGATCTTCAGATAACCCAGCCTTGGCCAGGGAGATGGTTCAGTGGAATAAGCGCTTCCCTGGCAAGCGCAAGGACCTGAGTTCAATCCCCGGTTCCACCAAAAAAAAAAAAAAAGAAAGAAAGAAAGATAACCCAGCCTCTTGCTGGTAGGTACTACCCAAATTTCCCCAAAACCTGGCTTCTCTTTGCCTAACTTTCTATTGTAAGCATCATGTAGTACCTAGTAATCTCACTACCTTGTCCAGAGACTGAACATTCCTTCTAAGAATGGGGACCTTGAAAACTGGTGGCAGTTGATGTGATATAACTTCTTGGAAGAATACAAGAGCAAAATCTTTAATATCTTTAAAATTCTTCCTACAAAGATTAACTAGATTCCCCAAGTCATGGCAGCATGTACCAGGGCCACAAGAGTATACTTTCTTATCAGTAATCATTTTCTTTCTTTTTTGTTGTTGTTATTATTTTCTCATTAATGCTCAGACTTTTAACTGCAACCCCCAGAATCCAGTGAAACCCACCCTTGCATAAAAATGCAACTACTATTCAACACTCTTCGAACACAAATGGACTTTTATTTCATTGTTTTCATAAATTTCATTTCCAATTGTACATATGCTGAAAGGTGGAAAACCGAAGGCAATTTCCAGTGACAGAACCTCCATCAAACACATATGATCTGAGATTTTACTGCTGTAGTGGACTGTAGTCCTCTCAGAATTTCTTGGCTAAACAAGACAAAACTCAGGTAACAGAGAGGAAGAGTGAAAAATATTGTTCTGTAGGAAATTTGTTGAGCTAAAGAAACATTTATTCATGGGTGCAGTGTCCGTCTTTAAAAAAAGAAACCTTAAAATTCCTAAAACCACAGGACAATATTGGTATTTTAGACGAGTATACATTTATATATGTGTGTGAAATTTTGTGCACTTAAACCACATGGAAAATGTTCTTTGCTACCACAGCCAATGAAAATGCATTGTCATTTCCATGTAAGTTAAACATTTCCATTTTCCATTTAATGTTCTGCAAAAAAGCCATGTGTCAGTTTTATGAAACAAACTGTGTTATAGGCAATCGTAACTGAAAGGAGCTTAACAGTCTTAACTGTGTACCCCTGAAATGAATAATATACTTTGCATAATCATGTGCAATGTTGGAAAATGATTCTCTTATAACTATAAGGGTTTGCAAGCTTCTATTTGTTACAATATGCCGCAAATCAGTCAATTTAGTCGAACAGTCAAGCAATAATTAAGATGGCTAATTTACAAAATGGCAAATAATCCATTTGACTAAATTGACTATGTCTTGCTGACATGTGGACGCCATCGCTGTAGGTGCCCTATAAAGAAATCATTTGTCAGTGGCTATTAATTTTCACCAAGAAGTTGACTTAGTTGCCTCCTAGGCCCTAAGAAAACACAGCTGCATAAACACAAGACTGACATTAACATACAGACAAATACCATGCTCTATGTACATTCCTCCATGGGAGAAATGCCACAAAAAGCAAACAAGGAAACTTGGGACCCAGCAGAATGAGGAGTTTCCCAGGTCTAAGATTTTATTTTACTCCAGTGGTAGGCATAATGTTGATCAAAAATTTCCCTTTTCACCCAGCTTCATGTGAACATTTCAGTGGCATATTTTGAAAACCCTCCCCAGAGCAAAGATCTGCACAGTAGGTGAGGGGCATGCCAGAGCTGGGGCACTCACTGTCTGAGGATCTAGGCCAGGGAGCTCCCAGAACAAGGTGGATCCATTTTATCAAGACAACTTTCTTCTGCAGACAAAAGGTATCAGTACAAAAGGCCCTCTGAACAAGCGTGAATCTTCTTTGGCATATTAGGTACTTCAAATATACATCTTTCTGGCTGTGCAGGTGATCCTTCAAGACTACTTCTTTTTATTAACATAACATTTGTATTGCACTGGAGAGCCCTCAGAGTGAATTTGAAAGAACTAAGTATTGTTTAAGCTTGAAAAAGGAGAAACACTGAAAGTATTCCAAGTTATTGTATTCATTAAGGTGTCAGGCTCCAGCGATAGGTTTGGAAGGTTAGAAGGCTTGCCAGATTTCTGATCATTTAGTTGAGTCTGAGGTCTGGTTCTGTAAGTTATCAAAAATAGGCTCATTTTCAGCCTCTCTTAGCTTTTTAAAAATATCTTGTGTGTCGTGTTCTACTAATCTTTGTTCCTACCCAAGCTTCAATAGCAAGGCTAAAGAAATAAGTTTTTGTTGCTCTTTCTGTAAGATAGTTTTCAGGGCTCTTGCTGCTTTTTGAAGACTTCCAGAGAAGCAAACTAGTTCTCTTGGTCACTTCATATTTTCGCACACAGAGGAATCACAGAGAGGAAGGAAAGTGCAAATGACTATCAGAAAATTGTCTCATGCATTTTAAGATTTTTTTACAAGTCAAAATATACAACCTCCTATTGGCCCCTCATTTCTTAGCTGTATAGGAATCATTCCTATTCGGTGTCTCCTCCACATCACCCTGGCTGGGCTGGGGAGCAGAGAGGCTGTTATTCCCAAGGAACAGAATATACCCAATAGCAACCCGTGAAACGACTGCATTAATAAGACCACTAGCAGCAGATTGGGTTGAGTCGCCCTCCATGCCCTCCACTGATGGGGACCCAGAAGTGTCAAATGACAGGTTCATGAAATTAAGAGGAGAAAGAGAAAGCAGTCTGCAGACTTTGGCACATGTAACATTTTGTTCCTTAGAGCTGTAGTTTGATCATCACAACACAGGAATTAAAAATTTAGAAATCTGCAGGAAACGATTCCAGGGCTGGATTCTCAGGGGAACTCTCCCATCTCCCTTCCCCTCCCACCCACTCCCTTACAGTTTCAATTATAATAAAAATAGAGATCTTAGCATCAGAATTTGGCTGTTAACTCTTCAAGGTTTCGCTGTGCCATTCAAGCCACAGGAAGGATTGAAGCACCAAATCCAGTTTTCTCCAACCAACTTTAAATAAGAAAAAACTGAAGAGTGCAGGATGCTGAAGTCACGGTTCTTAAATTAAGCTGTGACACCACGTCCTCCCCAACACACTGGGCGAGGAGCCGCAGGTACTGCCGGGCTGCGTGTACCTGTCTCGAGAAGGCTCCGCAGGACGGTTACCCAGGGCCGGGGGCCCCGAGGGCACCGACAGCCCAGACACCAAGGCCGGGCAGGGATGCCCTACCCATCACCACGTTTTAAAAGTCTCAGCCCCCTTTGTGATTGGCTGCAGCGGGATGTGTGCTGAGCCGGGCTGGAGGAGGAGGGGAGCCTGATCCTCAGCGGGAGCGCTCTGCGTTTAGTTTGCACTGTTGTGCCTCCCGCTCCCGGGAAGGGAAGGGCGTCCGAGAGCGCACTGCTGCGAGAAGTGATCAGCGCACTGCTGCGACTATCAGCCAGAAGATTCCACCTACCTGTGGAAAGACCCCACTTGGTCCCCAAAGGGCGCCTGGGCGACCCCACCGCGAGGGGGCGTCAGGTTGTGCACTTAAAGTGGATCAATTTATGGAAGGCCTGCTTGAAGTCCTCGTTGGACATGGTGTAGATGAGGGGGTTGATGAGGGAGTTCAGGTAGCCCAGCCACGTGAAGAAGTCGAAGATGGCCGTGTGGAACCAGCAGGCGTCCTTGCAGATAGGCATCACCAGGGAGATGATGAAGAACGGCAGCCAGCACACGATGAAGGCGCCAAGGATGACCCCCAGGGTCTTGGTGGCCTTGCGCTCCCTGGCGGCCATCAGCTTCTTCTTCTCCAGCAGCGCGTCGGACACTCGCACTTTGACCTGGTTCACGTAGACCGGAGACCCGGAATCACAGGACCCCTCGGGAGCGCGCGAGTTGACGGAGGTGGCCGAGGACGAGGAGCCTGGGGAGTCGGTGATCAGCTGGGCGCGGGTCAGGCGCTTGCCGGTCCTGTTGGGGGACTGCTTCAGGATCCGAGAGCGCGCCTCCACGTAGATGCGGCCGTAGAGCGCGATGAGGAGCAGCGTGGGCAGGTAGAAGGCGCCCAGCGTGGAGTAGACGGTGTAGAGGACGTGGTCGGTGTTCACCAGGCAGTCCAGCACCTCCGCCTCGGCCTTGGCCTGGCGCCAGAAGAAGGGGGGCAGTGAAATGCAGATGGACAGGACCCACACCAGCGCGATCATGCCCGCGGCCCTCCGGGGCGTCCTCCGGGCTGAGTAGCCCACGGCGTCCGTGATGGCCCAGTAACGGTCCAAGGCGATGACGCACAGGTGCATGATGGACGCCGTGCAACAGGTGATGTCCGACGACAGCCAGAAGTCGCAGAGCGCCTGGCCCAGGGTCCAGCGGCCGGTGACCGTGTACATGGTGCTGATGGGCATCACCAGGATGGACACGAGCAGGTCGGTGACCGCCAGGGACGCGATCAGGTAGTTGGCCGGGGTGTGCAGCTTCCGGGTGCGGTACACGGTGGTGATCACAAAGGCGTTGGATAGCATGGTGGCCAAGGTGAGGAGCGCCAGCAGCACGACTAGCAGCACTTTCCAGGGCAGGGCGATGGAGTCCTGGTAGATGTGGCTCGGTGCGCTGCAGTTGTGGGGAGGCGCAGAGGACAGGTTGGCGTGCGGCGGCCCGGCCTCGGCGCCCGAGAGGGGCGGCGGGGCGCACGCAGCCTCCAGGGTCCCCATGGCTCTGCTTGCCCAGGCGCTGGCGCACAGCTCTCGGGCATGGGGCGGACGCGCGGGAGAGCGCGGGGCAGGAGGACCATGGAGACCGCAGGCTCCCTGCCTCGCCCGCCAGCCCCCTGCTCCTCGGTGCCTCCCCCGCCCCGGCTCGGCGAGAATCGGAGGTCACGGGCGCGCAGCCTCGCGGAAGGGCGCGTCTCGCCTCGCTCCGCTCCGCTCCCGCGGTTGCAGAAGGACCCGCAACCCGGCGCGGCGCCGCCCGGCTCCTCGAGGCTCCAAGTGGGGGTGTCGCCGGGGAGGGGCCGGGGCCCAGAGGTATCTCTTACCCCAACAGCTCGGGACAGAGTCTCTCCTAACCTGGGCGCTCAGGGATCTGCAGACTCCGCCCGCAGGAGTTTGCCCGCGCTCCCGCCCGCAGCGCGCAGGCGTCCGGGTCCGGCATCCCCGCGCCGGCCGGGTCTGGGGCACTTTGCGCTGCTGCGGGGTGGGCGAGGCCTGAGTCGCGCCCTCTCGCCTGGCTGCCACCTGGGCACGCTGCCCAGCGGGCACGGATTGGAGGACCCCGGCCGCAGCTGCTGCACCCTGCGGCTGCTGCCCGTTCACGCGCGGACCCGAGTGCCTGGGGGGCCCTGAGGTCCGGCGCGGGTCTGGGGTCCCGAGATAACCCAGGTGGCCGCGGTTTGGGTGGCAGTGGGACCCCAATGCTGGTGGGGAGCTGTCAGCTTGGAGCCGCCTGGCTCTTTACGGTCCTGGACCCGGGCGCCCCAGCACAGCAACTCTTGCGGCGCGGCTGGTGCTGGCCCCAGTTTCCTACCGCCGTCCTTGCCTCTCCCTCTCCCTGTTTTCCTCCGGCCCAGCAAGCGCCCGCCGGGTCCTATCGCCCTGGCTACGCGTTCCTATCCCCTAACCCCTCTTTCGGCCCAGACGTGGAGTGGCATTCAAGGTGCCAGGGGGCTGCGACTTCTCCGTGCGCGCCCCGCAGCAGACCCACGCCCCAGCTCCGCCACGCGTCTGTGCGGGTGCAGCGTTCCGATTCCAGTTCACCCCACCCCCTCCCGGGAGACTGGTGCGAGGCGGAGCTGAGCCCGGTCTCCGACCTCCCCAATCTGGAATTTTATCCGGCAGGAGAGCCACACCCAGGTTAGAGGGAGGCGCCAGTGCCGTCGCCTTACAAGGAGATAGCCAATGCTGTCTGCGCGCGTTGTTCTCGGTGCTTGGGGCTCCAAGTCATCCTGGGTACAAGGCGAGAGCTTCCCCTTTAGGCTTAGAAATGTGTGCTCCTCTTCAACCCCTCATCTTTAACTTTGTGAGTCAACTTGGCAAAGGGTGCTAAAAGACAAGTGCCACAGACAGAAACCAAGTGTGCGTGGAATTAAACCTTCCACTTCACCCTCCTGCTCCCGCTGCGCAGCAGATCCGTGCTTCTGTAAACTAGTTCCCCCTGAGCAATGTCCTTCCCACACCGCCTGGGAAGGAGGTCCTCAGAATCCAAGAACACCTGGGCACACAAGCGGCCCCCTTTGCGCTCCACTAAAGCAGCAGGACGGCACCAGCCTAGGATGTGCCTAGTACCGCTGCGGTCAGGGCCTACAGCCACTGGCAGAGTCCCTGTCCGGTCTGGACAGAAACAAATGCAGGGTAGAAGAAACCAGAAAATATGAAAGAAGGAGCCTGAATACAGCAAGTCTTCAGTTCCAAGAGATTCCCGCGGGGACTTCCTAGTAATAAGTGTTCGGCTCGTGAAAACTCACATGGTAATTGAATTTATCAGGCTTAGTGCAAGTATGTTTTAAACAGAAGCAACCAGTCTCTGAGCCAGATTGGGGGATTATTTAATCTCTCCATGCAGTGTTTTGGGGAAATGGAACAGATCCTTTGCAAGGAGTGCCTTGTACCCAAGTGACAGGGCCTCAGATCAGGTTCTCTTACTCCCAGAATTTCTGGGCAAGCAAGCAAGCAAACCAAGCAAACGAACGGACGAACGAATACACAGTCCCTCCTCCGTGCCGGGCATGCTTCTAGGCACCTGGGCTGCGGATGGGTTCGACCCAGTTTCAAACGGCGTACATTCTTGGAGTGGCGATGAATAACTGGGCAAGTAGAGAAGGACTATGCTTTCAAGCAGCAGGAAGCTTCGTGAAGAAAGTAAGGTACAGCCAGGCGCCCTGAGGGTGGGCCTTTACCTCAGGTGACAGCGGTGGTGGCCGCCTGGGAGCCTAAGCCCCAGCGGCTGTCTCTCTCCTGCTGGCTCCCAGCCCCCTCCTGTGAGTTTCGCCTGCGCCTGCCACGGTCGCCACGCCACCCAGACAGCGCGCAAAGTAATGGCAGCCGGCGGCGCCTAGCTAGATGGTCTTACTTTGCAGACTGCCGCGCTCTCTGAAACCGCAGGCAAGGCAAGGACGCAGGCAGGCCGAGGCCACTAGGTGGGGGCGTTGTCCGGGATGCAGCCTCTGCTCTGCGGGAGCAATTTCCCTGCCGCCTCAGGCGCGCTGGGAAGGACCTGAGAGGGGCTGCACGCCCGAGACGCCGTCCGCGGCCAGCGCCCTTCCCTGGTATTTCTGCTTCTGCAGCGCCTGGAGGGCGAAGCCGCTGGAGCTCCGGCGCTTGCTCGCGCGCACGCCCGCCTGCGGACCTGTGGCGCGCCCTTCCCCCGCCCGCGGTCGGGCAGAGGCGGGACGCCGCGCAGACTCTCCCGCAGCGCAAGGGAGGTTTATTTGTATCAGCTGGATCCCGGCTGCTCAAACACCGCCGGGATTTTGCCAGGGGTCAGCAAGGAAACGGTCTCCTTAACCTAGCTGCGCATTACGCTCAGACCCGGAAAGGCACGCAGAACGGTGAAGGCCTGCATGTGAGCTCGCGTGCGCCAAATAGTGAAGCACACACGAGGCGGCGGAGTTGCCCGCGGCCGCGCCGGCCCCTGCCTAGGACTCCTCTGCCCAGGCCTGCGCCGACTGCCTTCAAATTCTGGGCTAATTAAGCTGACAGGGATCAAGGCTGCTGAGGGAAAGAAGTCCCCAGGAAAGGGCTGGGCTGGAGAGCCAGCGCTTAGCTGGAGCTAGCTGGGTACGCGGAGGCTCTTGCGTGGCCAGTGCTGTCTTATCAGCTGCACATCTGTGTCTTCCAGCAGCAGCTGAGCAATCTGAGGACGATTCTGCACTTGCAGTGAAGTCTGTGATCAGACAGGAGGGCAGCCACATATTGAGCTGGCTGGGGTGGGACCAGATGCAAAACGACAGTGAGCAGAAGCCCCTCAAGTCCTCCTAAAAGGCACCTCCCTCTTGCCAGAGGGGCTGCCTGGTGCAGTGGGGAGTGCCAGATGCAGCCCCTGAGGTGAAGAACACTCCTGCCTGGGCCAGACTCTATGGACAGAAGCCCCCAGCCAGAGCACAGCCCCCAGGGACTCCCACAGCGCCCGCCTCAACTCTGCCTGGGAAGAAAACTGTGAAGTTCTGCCCTTGTCCTCTCTGGAGATCCGCTTGAAGCAGCCTCCTGTTCCCTGGCCCCAAGACCTCCACAGCTACTTCTTGCAAATCAGCCTATTGCCTGTGGATTTTAAGTGGGGCAGTAGGAGTCTCGCCCCACCCCACGCTGGGCAACACCCTGGGGGGGGGGCGCGGCGCATTGGGAGGCGCTCTTACACTTACTTCAGCCAGTGTATGTTTCCCAGCTCTTTGTAGCAATGCAAGTGGGGAAACATCTGCACTATGCCTTCGTTCTCACCATCCTTGGCGTCTTCCCTAATCAAACTGTGGAAATGTTCACATAAATCAACATGTACACACACATACATATGAACATGTGTACATAAAAACATGCAAGATTTGCAGACAAATTCTAGGCATTTCCAGAGTCCTTTTCCATCTTTACTGACCTCCACATGAGGCCTTTGAGCTGTTTTGCATGTTATCATACTTATGTATTATCTGCTTCCTTAAGAATTTTTAAGCCTTATGAAATAATAAAAGTAGTGCACCATTCTCTAAACACCAGGCTGGGGCAAGTTAATCCCTCAAATTAGTAATTGTACTTTGTGTCTTTACATGGATACAGATATTGTATGGGCCACATTGATATTCAAGGAAGAATGCAACAAAATTAAAACAAATACATTTGACGTCTGTTGCAGTGGCTGTCTTCAAAGTCACAGACACTTTCAGCTGCATCCACAAGCAGGATGTCGTCACTTCAAAGTCAGTCACTTCCGCGCAGCTTGCTCCTACGTCAGCTACGAAGCACAACTGCTCTTGCTGAACGCCTAGCTCTTGGGCGACATTCCCTGACTCAAAGCTACTGTTAAGTAACGAAAGTACTGCTTGCACATGAAATGACAAGATGCATTAACCTTCTTAGACTGAGAGGGGGACTTAGTAACAGTGAGGACTTTGGGATGGAAAAGCAATGCCAACGAATCTACCAGACTCAAAAGCAACTTGTTAGCTAAGGGTGGCGGGCGCGCCTGCCATCCAACACTCTCGCAGGTGACTGGGGAAGACAGCAAGCTAAACCCATCTCATCTTGGCAATGTAGTGAGCACCTTTCTCAAAATAAAAAATAAAACACTTGCAGGAGAAATGAGTGCAGAAGGGTGGATCCAATCTCTCATGGCACAAGCCAAAGGAACAAAAACTTGCTGCTTTAGGTGGGCAGTGTCATTGGGGTGACATCGTTCTCCAGGCCAAGGAAAAGAGCAACAGAAGTGCTGCTTTCTACATTGAAAATAAGAGTTCTGTGCTTATTTTCAAAACAAAAACATTATTCTGTGTGGTTAGTTTTAGTCTTTCAGAGAAAATAAGGCAAGTTGTGTGTATTGCTTCTCTATACCTGCAATTCATGAATAATAACCATCATCCTTTATTGAGAACTGTGTGTCAGGCTGTATGTTACACACTCCACGCCCATCCCTCATTTAATTCTTATGACACTGAGAGTTGTCATTATCACCCTCATTTTCTGGATGAAGAAATTGAGAGAACATTTAAGGAACTTTGCCAATATCGGCCAGCTGGTAAGTCACAGAACCAGTTTCC